AAAACTCAATGTGATCTATCATTGAGAGGAAAAAATTGTGTCGGACAAATTTTATCAAATTGTATTAAAACAAGAGGATTGTATGTCTTAGAAGCAACTCATTCTTGAAGAGTGTTCTCAGGCGGTGCAACGAACGAAAATGACTTTCTCAAGAAGCATGATGAAGATGTTGTGGATGTTTCATGTCTTATGCTAATTATCGTGGAATCTTCCCTTCAAATCAAACTGACACCATCAAACGTTCGATATGATTGAACCCCATTCATAATTACCTGCATCGTTTCAATGCAATATGGCCAAGGATAATCTCCTCAAGGCTCTTGTAATCAAGATGATCGAGTTTATTACACATTTTGAGGGATGACGTGTTTCTTTGTGAAATAATTAGTCATTGATGTTGCTTTCCAGTTGCTGCTAATGATCTTGAAATATCCCTTCCCAAATAGCTTAACATGTTAAAAACAGGCAAACAAGAGCTTTCAACAAAAGTTTCTAAGAAAAACAATGAGAAAGTCAAATGTTTTGACTATGGAAAAACCAGACCTATTTGAGTATTTATATTATGGAAGGTACTCTTTTTGTTTCTTGTGATACATGGTTGGTATTAGATACAACCATACCGGATGTGGCTCGCATATTGGTGGAAATATGTAGAGACTAAAACCTAGAATATGGAGTAAAATTAGAATTGATCAACCTACAAGTGAATGCATCTTAATTCTTACGACCAATCGGGTTAACCCGACCGCTCTACCACTGAGCTACTGAGGAACAATGGGAGATTCGATCCCATAAAGTTCCATTTCCGTTCTCAACCCATGACCAATATGAGCTCGAAGCTTCCTTCGTAATTCCCGGAACTTCTTCGTAATTCCCGGAACTTCTTCGTAGTGGTTCCCTTCCATGCCTCATTTCATAGGGAACCTCAAAGTGGCTCTATTTCATTAGATTCCATCCATATCCCAATTCCATTCATTTAATATCCTTTTGGTGTCAATGACATAACATGTCATTTCTATTCTATCTCTTTCTTTCTTTTTTTCTACATATGGAAAGTTTCAAAATCATCATATAATAATCCAGAAATTGCAATACAAAATAAAAAGAAAGGTTTGTAATGATTTTGAAATCTTTTCTACTAGGTAATCTAGTATTCTTATGCATGAAAATAATCAATTCGGTCGGTGTGGTCGGACTCTATTATAGATTTCTGACCACATTCTCCATAGGACCCTCTTATCTCTTCCTTCTCCGAGCTCACGTTATGGAAGAAGGAGAAGAAGGTATCAGCAACAACTGGTTTTATTACGGGACAGCTCATAATGTTCATATCGATCTATTATGCGCCTCTGCATCTAGCACTGGGTAGACCTCATACAATAAATGTCCTAGTTCTACCGTATTTGTTTCATTTCTTCTATAATACTCACATACACTTCTTTGATTATGGATCTACTACCAGAAATTCAATGCGTAATATCAGTAATCAATGTGTATTCCTGAATAATCTCATTTTTCAATTATTCAATCATTTCATTTTCCCAAGTTCAATGTTAGCGAGATTAGTCAACATTTTTATGTTTCRATGTAACAGCAAGATGCTATTTGTAACAAGTAGTTTTTTTGGTTGGATAATTGGTCACATTTTATTCATGAAATGGATTGGATTGGTATTAGTTTGGATACGGAAAAATTGATCCATTCGTAAGTACATTCGATCTAATAAGTACCTTAGGTACCTTGCGGTAGAATTGATRTYTATTTCTATGGCCGGTTACTTTCGTATTTTATTTTTAATTACTTGTGTCTACTATTTAGGCAGAACACCDTCACCGATTTTTAGTAAGAAACTGAACAACCTCTACAGAATAGAAGAGGACTACGACGACGAAGAAGAAGAAGAATTTAATAACAATAGAAGGGTTTGTTATATGTCTCGGAATGAAGAAAATTTGAAATTAAATATACTTGACAAAAATCAAAAATATGAAGAAAAATACGTTTGTTTGTTTGAAAAACCTCTTCTGACCT